TCATTCACCTTCTGAAATGGTTTGTCGAGGAAAGTCGGTATTCACACGTTTGTAGAAGGTACGCAAGATTAATTGTTGCACACTGTTTTGCATTTCATTTCATTTATCATCATTTGACATTAAGACAATGTCAAGGTTAATGCATTATCTCTGTCTACGTATTGCTTTGTTCGATTGGTTAGTCAGGTGATTAAAATAGTATAATTTGATAATTAAAAGCTGCCATCAGTATGCAAAGGCAATCAATATGGCAGTTCAAGTTCAGAGAAAATAATATCTTTATACTTGGGTTCTATTTAACTTATGTTCTTGTATCTTGTGCTTTAAAATGAAAGGATTTAACGTTTTTAAATAGCTTTTTATGGAAGCTAAATTTTAGCCATCGACCAATAATTTTGTGCACCCCGTTAATACAAAAATACATCCGATCGATACCGCGATATAAATAAGTCGTATGATGATTTTCTGTGATAAGCTTGAAGAACCATTCGAACTGCGAAAAGCTCTTTCCACAATAAAGAACATGTGTTGCCGCTTTCACGCCGCTTTTCCACTTGAAAAACTCTTCCGCCCTCATCGCCTTTTCTACACATATCACAGTTATAAGCGCTGCTGGGCACGAAAAGGTCAAAGGTCGCGCTCGACCTTTTGAGGTGCATTTACCTTTTCAGTCGTTGACACAAAAAAAAGACACAAAACTTTACTTTTTTTTGCCGTTGTAGTTGTTATTGAAGTGGGCGTGGCACAAGCCCTTTTTCCTCTTGTTATTATTGTAGTTGAAGTTCTGAATTCGTCTGTCTGGGCCTTTTAAGATTTCTGAGCGAGTTTTGTTGATATTTTCGTGCTAATGCCGAGTTCAAGGCGGTTCATTGATAAAAAAAAAAGAACTAACAAAAGTTTCGCCTAATTACTGCCTATTGTTCAGTTGTAGGCTTGAATTAAAAAGAGTTATAAAAGGGGAAACACCCAAAAAAGGCAGAACACGAAAGGTAAAACACGAAAAGACAAATTATAATTGCGTGTGCACAAAGTTTAATGAGAAGGAGGAGCGAAGTGATTGTTTCACTGGAGCACGGGGTTAATAAAGTCTTGCCTAAAGATAGTGAACCTCACTTCGTGTTTTGTAGATTAAAAGATAAAGATAGTTCTGTGCACGAGCACTAAGTGTGCTCAAAGCTTGGCAAGAAGGTAGAAAACGGGTTACGAGTTCTTTAACAAAGAAATTAAGTCATTACAACGCCTTTACCTCCACTTTAAGCCAAACCAATAAACATTATCCAATGCAGGAGATAAGATAAGAAATATATAGATTGTTTTAACAAGCCAGTTTTAAGAGATGATGAAAAAGCCTTGAGCTCATTTGTAGCTCCCTATAATTATTATCAATACTTTCTTATAAAGACTTTTTATTAAGATAAGAGCTTTGTTCTAAGAGCAGCTAATTAACTAATGAAATTATATTGTAAGTTTTGCGTCAGTAGCGGTCAAAGGTCCTCTGCTTTAATGTAATTTTATATAAATAACTGCTCAGACAGCAAAAAAATATAAATGATGACGTCATTTTTAAATGTTTAATTCTTATCACTAATCAAAAATGAAATCTTGTAATCACTGAACTGCAATTTTGTTTCCACTTTACAACAAATCCTACCCGGAATTACAATTTTATTGTGAAGGGAAACTTGCGGTCTCGCAGGTCGCAAAAGGGAAAAAAACGATTTAATCTTAGCTCACCTCATCATGAATAAACACTATGCGGCATAAACTTATAGTGTTATTATCAACCCTAAAGACATGCCATTAACCCTTTTATTCTACCGTTATTCCTTGTCGACCATTAAGATGATGTGACATCCGGCAGGAATAAAGCCATTTGTCTCTATATACGCGGCAGTAAATAGCTAATTTAGCAATATGCAATTAGAAATGCAATGAGCGATAAACGCGATAAATGGTCAAACAAATGAACTTCTCTGCGGTGAGAACGTGAAACCAACCAAGTGGGTGGGACATGGGGACTTGGGCCATGTGCGCGCGTGGCTGTTAAAATAAACAAAAGCCACCCACAATCACATGTAGTGGAAGAATCGAATGGGGAAGAAAGCGAAGACAAAGAGGGGTGTAAGTTGTTTTATAAAAAAAAAAAAAAAAACAAAAGAGGGAGTGCAATAATTCTGTCGCTACCGCTTCCTCAGTGTTGACTTTTATTTTTAATTGATTTTTTCTGCGACTATTTAACTTTGAGCTTTACAATAAAGCTGAAAATTTGCATTTTAAGCGTTTTTGCTGCTGTTTTACTTTATTGAAGGCAGTCGCGTTCGCAGTATGGAAAATAATTATGGAAATGGTTAGGAAAATTAAATTTTAATGCAAAACAAAATGAATTCTGCAAGTTGTTGATTTTGGTTTCGAAAAATAGCAAAATGGAATGCCGAACCTGTATTTATTGTTTTACTTTATTGTGTGAAAAAGCTGGTGACGTTAATAAGAAAAAAAGGAAAAAACACGAACAATATAAATACTTATAGGATTACATTAATTATTTCAACTAATCCAAGAAGCGTACTGTTTTTTTTTTCAGAATAACTGACGTGATTATATAAGTCGATAGTTCAACTCTAAAGTGTATATAATTCTATCATTTATAATCACTTACTATAAATAACTGATTCTAGAGTTCCTTATGCATATTTATAGGGCTTGGGGTCTGGAAAAACTGTAAGCACCTTGCTTTAGGCATAAATCCCATAACACATGAGGCCTGTAAATTTCATTTGAAATTTAAATGGCTGTCGTTAGTGATTCGCTTTTTCTTGAAGGTCTTTTTAAGGTCTGTAGATTGAGTGAAAAAGTTATGGCACTAGAAATGTAAAAGTAAATGCCAAAGTGCTAACAGAAATAACACTTTCGTTATTTTTTTATTTTAATATTTGTAGTTTACAATATGACAAAAATTAAATCGTTTATTGTGCTCGTTTAAATCAATAATTTTCTATTCAAGTAGCAATATAAAAATATTCTTAAAGAATCGTCAAGTAAAAGTATCGTTCTATTTATCATAGTAAGTCAAGTTTTTTTCCTCTGCCTTTTTCCAATCGGTTTTAAGTAGGACAATAGAAAATGTAAGTGGCCCTTATCGTTTAAAGTTCTTCGATTATGGGGGCTGGTCGGTCGGAGGATAACTTACTTATCAACTTCGGTGCTGAACATTCGCACCATGTGGCGCTGCAGATACTGGGGCACAGATTGCGGGGAGGCTGGAGGCGTTTGATAGGGATTCATCATGGCCTCGTCGTCATCAAAGTAACCCGAGGAGGTGGACGAGGTGGTACGCGGATACTTCAGCATTTTCTCACAGTTTATTGCTTTTTTTGGTTTCAGCTCAACACTTATTTAGTTTTCAAATTGATGTTTGTTTGAATTTATTGGCTTTCTATCGTAAATATTTACTCTTCCACTTTGAGTTTATTTATTTGTGAACTAATAAATTAACACTTTGGACAACTTGTTTAGCTTTTGTGACCTTTTTCTTTGTTTTCTGTTGTTATGTAAAGAGACACAGGCAGAAATATTGGGTATTTAATTATTATTCAATCAGGCGAAGAAAGGAGAAACAACAGCAAACGAATTGTGTAGCCGGTCGAACGACAACTAAAAACAAAAATTGCTTTGAATTTTCGAATTTTGCATTAATTTTATTTTTCTCGCGACCCGAGAGTGAGAGAAACGTAGAGAAAAAGCCGAGAGAAACATGCACTTCAACTTGGACAACAACACAACCAACAGCTCCCAATACGTTGGCCAATTGTATTTATAATTTTATTTATATATTTTGCATACATTGTTGCTGTCGCCGTTTTTGTTATTTCTTTTTTTGTATTTTTTTTTCTGTTTTTATTTCTCTCTGATAAATTGTTAAGCGCTGTCTGGAACTTGTTGCGCGTGCCAAATGGCAAAAACTAATATGAGGGAACATCGGTGTACAACCGAGCTAATGGAGAATGCCCGAAACGGAGCAGCGAGAGAACTCCTCTCGGGCGGCAATTAATCAAGCCTTGACTAAAAATAAATATTAACCAATTAAATTTATCTATTAAGATACGCACAGCAGCCGCACGAGCACTTGACTCGACAGATACAAAGTTGAAATTGCAGACAAATTTCAGTGTTTGCTTAGCGGAGCCAGAGATACAGCAGGAATTTCTGTACAAAATGTCAAAACGTGACTGCTCTGTAATTTGAAAATACTAATGGTATTTGACTTTAAATGTGGGAAATCTACTTATGGGATCAGTTTTTGTTTTACAGGAAAAATAAATATAGAAGCAGCAACTTAGTAATTCGATGCTAAACAAAAGTTATCCAGTGTCTAGGATAAGATGTTAGTAAAGAATTTGGAATATGGATAATAAACTGAATAAATAAATAATATTCCATTGCGAAAATTTTTTAGAAATTGTTTGTTTACTCCGCTTGCACAATTTTTTATTCTTTTGATATTAAAATCCACTACTTATTTGCAGATTTTCCTAATTCACTCTGGCTCCATTCGAATGTAACAACAAATTAAGCGATCTCCCACTAAGAAAGCCGAATATATAAGGCAAACTTTTGAACCACCCAAAATATGTTCCACAGTTTGTTTTTGCGTTTTTCCCTCATTTTGTTTTCGCTTGCGGTTTATTTTTGGACGGATTCGATTTAGATAAATTGTGCGTGCGATCGCCAAGTACATAGATAGATTTGTATCTCAACTCGAGGTATATAGAGGAGGCCTAAAGCGAATGCGAAGATAAATAACAAAGAATTCACAATCAGTCAGTAACAAGGTCAGGGTACCGAGGCATCGACATCGCCATCACCATCGACATCAACAAAAAAAGCGACAGAAGCAATTAACGCACGTCATCACTCGACGCGTATCCGTAAGATACAAATAGCGACAGACGGACAGATAGAGATCTGCTACTTAAACTACAGCAAATTGTTTAAACAAATACTTTTCGGTCTGTACTTTTTGGGCTTTTCGTTTGTAACTTTTTTTTTCTTATTTCTTTTTTTTTTTGTTCGCGTTTTGCGTCTCACGCCGGCGACAAGTTTTTGTTTACTGAATTGGAACCAAAAACTGAATTTTACACAAAATCCAAAAACGACCAGCACAACACAACACACACACGAAAACCAAAAGCAGCGACGTCGACGGTGGCGGCTGCGCTTCGGCGGCAGCAATAAAATTATTTTCAAAAATACATTTTTTCTGCGTTCCTCCGCTCTTTAGCTCTTTAGTTTGGGAAGACGACGGCGGCGACAGCGCCGAATAATGGGCGAGAAACAAAATTTACACACACGAATGGAGCCGACGCTATTTTTTATTTCATTGTATTTTTCATTTTTTTGGAGCAAAGCACCGACGCCGATGAACGATAACAGGGAAAAGGTGAAAAAAATGAGGAAAAAACGAAACGCGACAAGCGAAAAACAAAGCAGATTACATTGAAGAACCTTCGTGTGGCTCTTATCATAAGAAGGCTATCTAATCGCAGTCTGATAATTAGCATTGAGTGATAGGTGGCGCGGGGAAAATAGAAAATCGGAAAAAGGTGGAAAGATTGGGGAGAGCAATAGATGTAGGTGGGTTTTTTTTTTTGGGGATTGGGGGTAAAGCTTATATAAGCTCATTTAAAAACAATCATCTTCAATTATGTTTCATTCAATTTAAATGTGAGTCAACAGAATGTTTTAAATAAGGTAATTGTAATCAATTAGTAAAAGAATCCAAAAGTTCTTAACATTTCTACAAAAAAACTTGTACACTGCACACCTAAAAATTTAATACCTTTAAAAAAATTCGCCGGCTTTCAACAAACTTTATCTTGAACGTGTCCTTATCTTCCCGTCAATAAATGGGTCTTAACAGGACTTTAATTTTGGGTTGGGTCTAGGCAAATAAAGCCAATATGTAAATGAGACTGATTATAAACGAAAGCACAAAATCAAATAAACATGATAATAGAAGAAGCTTAGAAAAAAGGAAGTTCAACTGATAGCACTTTGCATTGAAGTAACCGCCTTAACTTATGATTACCATCTATTCCAAAGATTTGACATCACTACTAAACTTTCCATCAGTAACAAAAATGCAGTTATTATCAAGATGATTTAACGCATTAAGAAATCAGCCTTTTCAATAATACTACCTCAGAATCAATATTAGCTATAAGCTGACGTCACAATAAAGCAAACAATGCGTATCAAATGACAGGAAAAGCGTGTGCACTTTGATTATAAGCCTCGCGGCCAACAAACTTTGGCAAAACAAATACGAAAATGCCACAAATCAAAGCAAATAAGGAAAGGCCTGGGCACATGTTTCTACAGCTTAACGAATGTTCTATATGATCATCTGACTGAAAACCGATTTTACGGCATATTATGAATAGAGAAAGAAATTGGATTTCAAAAGCCGCGGGGGTAAATGGCAAGGAAAACCAAGAAAATTAGAGGAAAAGATTGCGACAAGTGTCGAGTTAGCGTGAAATTTATAGCCAACGAGAGGCCGCGCCTGAGTGAAGGAAAAGTCACAGAAAAGCGAGGCGAAGAAAAATGCAAACGATTCAGTTTTGCTTTCTGATTTAAGCAAATTACAGCAGCTGGCCACCTGCGCGTATACGTAATGTGAATTTATTGGCTCATTAGAGTTGAGCAAATGTTAAAGCGGCAAAAATAGTTTGCAGCTAAGGCGAATTTATGCTTGGTATACTTCTGCGTTGCTTTCCTCCAACGCCCATCTATATATCACTATATATATATAAATATATATATGTATAGTCATAAACTAATGTACACATGCCTAATTGGCGTTTAATTGCAATTGGTTGAAAGGCATTGAAACTGGGCAGCTGTCAGTTGAACGTTCTCATCAAGGAACTCGAGTCTTATCTCTTCACTGATAATCTTTATAGTCAGGCGATAAGCCAGTTATGTTTGGTATTATTTACTCATTTTCTAAATTTAGACCATTAGTCAGAGTAGGCTGAAATCGTCTGATTTTGAAAGCCGGAAATCCTCAAAATATTTTTTGCAATAATTATAATTAAATAATTACCTATTTATCAAGATTTCTTTAGAAAGATTGCTGTTCAATCAAATAAAAACTATTCTGAATGAGTTTAAAATTCACAAAAATATAACTAATTTAACTACTCAATGCAAGACCTTTAATACTTTTTAAATTAATAACGAATGGTATTTTAGTTGTACGTAACGTAGTCGTTAACGCCTTTTTCCAATGTGGTTAACCAGATGTTGGAGTCACGTTCCCCTGACTCGGAATCTGTTTTTACAGCACTTACAGCCGCCGAGAGCAAATATTTGACTGAAATTTTATAATTAACAGTCAATATTCCGAGCGCAACTCCGTCTCAGCCTATTTGCAGTGCAGTTTTAAACTCTGTAGTTCTTATGGAACCATATTAAGTTGTGCAAGCAGCAAATTCCAAACGGAATGAATATCTAATGAGTTATTGTGGCGATAAGCCAGTAAAATTAAATGTTAGTTATCAAGATAGGTAAACAATTTGCGGATAAAGAGAAAATATTTGTAGAAATTTAATAAAAACTGTAATCTGCTTTATATGTAGTTACAACTTTTAAATTTCACCCTTCAGAATTTATTTCTTCTTACTAAAGTTTCTACACATTTTATCGATTAAATTCCATCGTTGTTTAATGACCCTTAAACCCCCTTCATCTGAATTATTAATCGGTTCACGTTCGTCTAGTTAACTATCCATTTGCTACAATTATCCCTCCCCGTTTAACTTACTGTCTTTGTGGCGAGTTGAAATTGAAACGCTTACCTGCAAAGAAATTACAAAAATAAATATCAATTAATTAACTGTGATCCAATGCCGATCAATTTAAAGTACTTATGCCTACGCCAATAATTAATTTTCAACTGATTGAAAGCGCTGACAATTCGAAAACGACGCAAAAAGTCGTCGTAGTCGACGAAAGCGACAATGCAGATAAATTTAAAATAGTGCTAGAACCGAAAAAAAAATGGTTGTTGCTTTAATTAATTGTCGTAATCAGGTATTGCAACAAATTAAATGCTTGGGTGTCTGTAAAAATACATTTCAGCAATTTTAAAGAGCTCGCTTCCTGCCAAAAGACGTCACACGAGTGCCATTTGTTGGCCAACAGCCCCGACCACCAACAAAATGGAAAGGAAAAAAAGCATCAATTTTCGCTGTTGGCCAATTTTGGCAATAGCTGCACGATTTGCCACGAACCGAGTGGGTGTTGATGGCTAAAATTTTGGTATACAATTCTCTCGCCCTTTTCTCGACTCAGAATTTTCTTTTGTCAGCCTGTTGGCAGGTGGACAGCTTGAGGATGAGTCAAAGATTGCATGGGTTCGGCCTTATAATTGAAACACTCTGCCCAATTTGGCACTTATTGCAAAGCATCAAAGAAATGAGGTGTGGCCCTCAAGCGCATAATAGACTTCTAGGAATTTTAATGAAACAAATGCAAACTAACGAAATAACCAAACTAACGTGACAACTTAATTCTAGGAAACATATACACAGTACAATAGTTTTAAGTGCACATCTATTTCAAGGGAATAAGTTTGCGTGTTGAACAATTTAAAATCGATACAAAACGATTCCATTTAATCGGGTGATGCGGGAAAACAGATAAAAGTGTTCTTGTCAAAATTTCCCAGGAAACAACTAATAAGATAAAAGAAACTAATTAACAAATAATTGAGTGAATACAGCTATATTTTCTTTAGAATGCATTGTAAATTATAAAAAATCTTTGACAAAAAGGAATTTCGCTGACTTCTGCTTCTTCCACAAGATCCATCTAATCTTCATCCAAATCCTCATCTGATTCGATCACTATACCCACACATGAATAATTTTTCTGCAGAATTATTTCCCACCGATTAATTTCGGTTTCATGAAGGTACTGGGTGAAATCCATGCCGGCCACATGAGACAAGGTTCCATGCAACCCGAATTCTAGCAAATCGTTTGATACATCGTAAATCTTTTCCTTTAGGGCCACCAAAATTCTTCCATCGGATCGAGTTCCATCGAACTTTAGCAACTGCTCCAAGGTTAACTTAATTGGTGGCAAGTCCGGAAGTTCGGCTGCATACAGCTTTCTCATATCGAGAAGACTGGCTCCACCACTATGTAGTTGATTTTGATAGATGTACAAGTACGCCAAGGCGGCCATAACAATGGTCAGCAAGATACTGATCGCGCAACCTAACTTTCCTAGTTCCTCATCCATTTTTATACCCTTGCAGAGCAAAAGGGTATTATAATTTCAGTCAGATGTTTGCAACGCAGTGAAGGAGACACCTCAGACCCCATAAAGTATATATATTCTTGATCAGCATCACGAGTAGAATCAGAATACGTCTGTACGTCTGTCCGTCTGTCCGTCTGGCCGTCTGTCCGTCTGTCCGTCTGTCCGTCTGTCTGTTTCTCTTCAAACTAGTCTCTCAGTTTTAAAGCTATCTTACTGAAACTTTCCCAAAAGGTGTGTAGTTATTGCACGCAGTATATAAGTCGGAACGAGCCGGATCGGGCGACTATATAGGATAGCTCCCATACAAGAGATTGAAATACCAAATTCTAACGCCGTTGTTTTTGATCAGATCGACTTGAATTCTTCAAGATGGCGTTTTCTAACTGTTATTGAATTTCGGATTAAATTTTATCAAAATCGGATAACTCTATAGTATAGCTGCCATAGGAGAGATCATAAACTATATATAGAATTAATGGAAATAAATTGATAACATCGTTGTTTTTTATCCCATGAGCATGATTTTTTGAATATCAAGTTTTTTAAGAACTCCTATATTGAGAAAAAAGTTTCATACAAATCGGACAACTATATCTTATAGCTGTCATAGGAAAGATCGAAAAATCTATATAGAAATAACGGAAGTAAAATTATAACATCGTGGTTTTTCATCAGACAAGTATGATTTTTGAAATATAGAGTTTTCTTACGACTCTTAAATTACGAATTAAATTTGATCAAAATCGGACAACTATATCATATAGCTCCCATATGATCTATAGTCGGAAATATGGAAAATGAATAGAAAAATCGTTATAGCTTCGATGTTGTTTAGCCCTTATGCATTTTGTTCGACATATTGATGACTGCAAGGGTATATAAGCTTCGGCTTGCCGAAGCTAGCTTCCTTTCTTGTTATTTTTCCTGTTGTCTGTTTTTTATTTAGTCGAAACGAATCCTTTGGTATTCCGAATTAAAGTAAAGTTAAGTAAGTCAAGGCTAACTTGTAAAGTCGCACATTATCATTTAAATAAAACATTCATCTTAACTTTGCTCAAAAAATGGTTGTTTGTATATAAAAAAGTATTATCTTTGTTACTAAAAATGTTTATCTTTTAAAAAATCAGTTTTCTATTTAAATACAATTTTATAACAAAATGTCTTAAAAACATGAGTTTCTCTCATATAAATCCTCTGGTAAATAAATAGGTTTCCTTCTTGAAAAACAAACCAAATACAGAAGAAGAATCGCCCTTTGCCATACAATCCACATCTCGTTCGCTTTCGCTGTTGGATCTGCTAATATTTGGCGTGATAACCAAAGTTTATTGTTCTGTTGTGCCGTTGCCTTGAAAAGAATCAAGTAGCTGGCTGTTATCAAATTGCCACAGCCGCAGAGTAGCTGCCATATCGTTGGGGCAGGTGATAATGTCAGCGAGTGTATCAGGAGCACAGAAATTGGAGCACAGCCCTCAGAGTCTGGCAGTCAGCACAAAAGCAGGTTGAACAATTTTCTTATATTATCAGTTGATTAAATATGAATTATATGAACAAATAAAGGCACAACCACATACAGGCAATTTCAAAAGTGTGAGTGTCATGAAAAACGATAAGCGCCGGCACACAAAAAACAAAAATTCTGATACAGGGTCTCCAGCGAAATGAAAAAAAAAAAATAACAAAATATAAACTGCAAACATTCAGGTGTTAATTATAATTCGCTCTGGTTTCAGAGTTAAATTGAAATATAACATAAGTTTCTGTGTAAAATAGATTACTTTAAAATTAGGTAGTTGTTAATTATTATGATATTTTTAGGGTTATTAAGTGTACTATGAATTTGTGTAATTATAAGATTTGGGTGTCAATAAGTACGTATTGTATGTTTTACTTAATTTTTTTGTGTGTATTCATTCGTAAAAAGTTTTTTATGATAACGAATTATCTTTGGCTTTCAGGCTTTAATTAACAACTTAGTAGTTAATTAGTTTTAATACACATGAACTAAATAAAACAATCTTATAGACCTTAATTCATGTTTATAAACATTTACAAAATTCAAATAATCATGCTATTTAAAAATAAATAAAAGTAATTATCCGAATTTGCATTTTTAAATAATTTGTTGAAGTAAATAATCACAAACAATTATATTTTTTTTAAAAGCTTTATATACATATTCATCTTTTGACGTTTTTATTCCTTTGCTTTTTGTTTACTTACCCGATGAAATCTTTGATAAAACAATAAACCTTAAATAAACCGCGGTCATTATTAAGCAAATATTCGGGCTGAATGACAGCAGCTGGCATTAGATTGACGTTTTGTTGTTGCTGCTGTTGTTGTTGAAGGTGCATTTGTTGTTGCTGCACCGACATTTCGCTGCCACCGATGTTGTTGCTGCTGGTCGTCGCCATATTGGCAGCCATTTTGTTGGCTAACGCAGCCATTTTGTTGTTACTGTTGCCGCCATGCTGGCAACTCTTGTGCTCATGCAATTGTTGTTGTTATTGTTGTTGTTCTTGTCGCTTTAGCAATTGTTGTTATTGTTTAATCAAAGTTACTGGTGCTGTTTAAAGCACACTTTAATGTCTTTCGAAGAGCCAAATTGGTATTCAACTTAAATTAAATTGATCTTCAAATTGATATACAAAAGTCTTAAAGTTTGGTTAGATAACTATTGCAAAGCTGTCAAAATTTATACAATTTTGTTATAATTCCTTTGCAGACTAATTCAAATATTTTTTTTTATATTTAAATTTATTTACTATAAAAAGTAAATTTAGAATTCTTAGACAAGGGATTTAAAGGAGAGCCTTTTTATTTTACAAAAAAAAAATGTTCAAGTTGATGTATAATCAGTTAATATTTGTAAATATTAAATTGGACAAAAGAAAAAAAATTTTACCTTGTTATTAAACAAGATATTTTTCTTTATTTCAAAATTAAATTCAAAAGAGAAACTGTGTTTATATTCTAAACCTCTGCAATAGTTATTCACAAATTAGTCGAACCAAAGCAAAATTAAATTAATTCAAATCACAAAAGCAATTGGCAAATTTTTGTTTGCTTTCATTTGAAACTTTGCCAATTTTCATTAATTTCTGTTTCAGCTGCAATTTGTCGAGCTGTGGTGTTTTGTAGTGTAGTGGTGGTGATTGTGTGGGTGTTGCATGTGTCATCATTAAAAGCGAAGTTTCAGCGTGGAGTAAAGTATTTAATTAACATTCGCAGAGCACTGACATGCCACAAGGCATTTTGTTGCATGCCCCGCAGAAAAAACAGACTCGTACAAACGGGAGATGAACAGCGCTTACATAACAAACGTGAAGCTGATGAGAAGGCATGCGAGATGCAGTAACAGAAACAATTGGGTTGCTCAATATGTATGCGACTACTACAATTCATTTTCATTTCATCCATACAAGCTTTAACGCCTAACTATATGTGCAAAATACATTAGCTTCTTAGGAATAGTATTGAAACTAAAAGCTACACCAGTTTCAGGAAATGGGTTTTGGTAAATTGTCAGGTAAAGTTTTAAAGCCGCGTTGGTATTTTATATATTTAAAAAAAAAACTAACTACATATCTACAATTTAAATTTTCTCATATTTTGATAACCATTTTATAAAGTTTTAAGAATTGTTAAATAATTGAAGTATTTGTCTTGTCATAATGTTTAAATTTCAGCAAAGAATTTATTTTTTTATTTATTTTTAGGTATCTAAAAATGTATATTATTTTATATGTACATTCAGACGAACCATATTGTCAGAAATAGGATCTTCACTTCCCTTTAATTTTAAGTCTCCTTGGAAAAAGTGAGCAACAATTTAATTTGAGCATAGATAGTGCTCCCACCGCCTGTCAAGTGTTACAAAAATGTAATATGTCTCTGAGGCAGAAAGTTAGTCAGGCACTGGGTCGTCGGTTTCCCGTTTCTGTGCAGCTCCTCTCGGCTTTTGTGGGTGCAACAAATGGCGCCTGCTGACAGCTAGTTGACAGCGCGACTAGAAATATGACAGCTCCGGCTGGAGGCACTTGTGTGTCAACAACTGCCCGACAACTTGTTTTAGATGCGATAAGCAAAAAGCGGAGACATTCCAGCAGTAATGAGGGACGAACGATGCCTCCCCAAAGAACCTCAAACAAAACGAAGAAAAAATGTGACAAAAATTGATGTGCAACATACATCAATTAGCATTTTTAATCACCCAAACCGAAGGAGCACAACCAAGGTTGCTTGCCAGAATTATTTATACACTTTTGTATGCTGTTCATATGTTTGGGTTTAGGTTTTTAATACAGTCAAGTGGCGAGGCCCTAACGATGATGTTACTCGACCCTGACTTTGACTTCCCTTCAGCCCACACAAGCTGCCCAAACAGTCACGTACCAAAGAGGCAGCCCAAGTACTTATTTTTTTTATTTTTTGTCAAGGGTCCACACTTCTAAGCACTCGAAGGGAAAGGTCAGGGGGATTCGGGGGCACTAAGCATGCCAAGTATTTTCATCCCAAAGAGTTGGTGGAAAGCCTTGAGTTCTGCTCTGCCAAAGAACAAACTCATTCACATTCCCATTCATATTCACGTTCAGATCCCCCACTCAATTGAAACTGACACACGGCGCCCAGCATGAAACACAACACAAAAAGCATTTCGCCTTGAAAACGTTTTCATAATGGAACCCAAAACAACACAACACAACATAACACAGCGCGAAACAAGAAAATAAAATCTCTGTACGAAAATGAACTGCAAAAGTCCAATGTAAGGGGGCATTACTTCTGAGGTAGTCGACACAATAGGCGGATGGATGGATGGATGTTTGGCAAGGATTTTTTTGTTTCAATGAGCACGTGCTGGGGCCACAGAGCCTTGATGCGCGGGAGTGATGGCGGATTACTGTGATGGGATGCCTAGTTCATCAGGCTTAGAGGTTAGGCCATCTTGTAATGAATAAGGGGATCTACAAGTT